ACAGCGATATTACTGCATACTAATGGTATCTTCTATTCATAACCACTCCGCTGGTTCCCTTGGCCTGAAAAGTCCATTTGCTGATGGAAAACTTGAGCCCTGCTCACTTAACAAGGAGTCGAGGAATTTCTGTTGAATCTACACCTGAACAAGGTACAGATTGGGAAGGCTTGGGAGCTTTTCTAAACAGCCTTTCAGTGAAATCATCAGGAGTCTGATAAGTTTTCCTGTCACTTGTCAGAAATCCAGGAACAGGAAGAGAGTTGCCAAGAATTGTATCAGCTTTCCTCTAACAATGCTTGGGAAAACTATAACGAGAGGCAGGAAATGACGGTATTTATAGGCAGTATCTCAAGAAAAAGGCAGCAAATGCACGCCACTGAGCAGCCAGAAGGCTAAATCAGGAAGAGAAAGCTCTTTTCTCCTATGGTACGATATGCAGGGAGAGGGAAGAGATCAGGTCAGGCTCAGCAATCTACTGACCAAAGGGGCTGAAACAGAGTCCAGGGTCAAGGCCAGGGCAGGGATCCCAGAGCCTTCCCAAGCAGGTGACAGCATCTCCTGGGATCTCCCCAGCTCAGAAGGTGGGGGAATAACTTTTCAAGCATTATCCTTCCTTCGTATCACCTCCTATCTGAGAAACATTATTAACAAGTCAGAGATGTGGAGGGCTGAACGGGCCAGCAGAGTTATACATGGTTAAAATTATAACACGATGCTGTGCCCTGTCTCCACACAGCTTGCACCACTGTGCTGGGGTCAGCATCTCCTGAAATTACTAGTACCTAGTTTATTGCAAAAGCTCATAGATCAGACTTCATGAAAAAAACCAAGACTGCTATCTTTGAAACCGTACCTACACAGCAAACAGACTACTGTCCCCCCAGCTATCAAACAGTCAAGGTCCTTTAATCAACACTGATAGTATATGGTTAATATTAAATAAAAACAGCCTAGTACCCTGAGCACTCTCTCCTGAGCTGTAATTTAAATAAAAGCGCTGTGAAGTTAGTCAGAATGGCACAGAAGATTTTCCCAAGCAATGCAGCAAAATACCTTCAACTATAAAACTGAGTCACTCTCTTCTGCACTGTCTCTTACTGGAGAAACAAAGATTGTAGACTGTATAATCTGAGGCAACTGGAATATCTGTAGCAGGAAAAGAAGAAGGATGAGCACAGTAATGAGTTACCACATCTAATGCTTCCAGCAGCCCAAAATGCATCGACTTCAAACACGAACTCCGGGGTAACCGCATAGGGAAAACACAACCGATTTGATCACTTGAAGCCTTCGACTGAGGAAAGGACCTCTCTATTGCACCTGAAATGATTTCAATCCCTCCTGGACTCTGGAAGGGCAGACTTGGTTGTAAAAATATTTTCTACAAATTATTTCTTTGTTACAATCTCACTGCTATTTATCCTGGAAGTGTAACCCGTCATCTCATTTGCAAATGAAATCCCTTCCTCTTCCAGGTGCGAACTGTTCATAGGCTTGCTTAATAATGCATTCGATTGTTTTATGGAAAATAATGTTACCATACAGTGCACTCAAATTAACCCTGTAAAATTTTATCATGGGCAGTTTCTGTTCTTACAGAAATAACGGAGGGGAAAATAACTGGGCTACACCTTGCTCAGCACAGCTCCCACGGACCATCCACTCCCGTGGCTTTCAATCTGCAGTCTGCAGACCCCTGGGGGCTGCGGGCAATGGCTAAGGGGTCGCGAAAGGCGACGGCGATCTACGCGAAGCATGCTAATACCTGCACTCACCGCTCACAGGGGTCCGCGCCTCCACTCGCAATTGTTTCAGGGGTCTGCAAATGAAAAAAGGCTGCAAACCAAAGGATGCATCAAGACATCTCCACTGTAAAAGAGGAACGGCTCCAGCCGTATCCGTGTCTGTCAAAAAGTGTCTGAAGCGGCCGATCTCGTGAACTTCCCAGTTACCCTGGAAACATCGCCTCCCTCCTCTGCTTGCCGCGAAAACCGCCACCGAGGAGCACACCCGCTCGACGGCGCGTCAATGGCCACGCGCTGCCCGCGGCACCGTCTCGCGCCACCAGACGATCCGCGAGGGATTTATGCCACCCCGCTCCGAAGAATCGAATCCCAGGAAGAAAAAAAGCGCCGCGGCTGGCGCTCTGCCCCCGTCTTGCCCCCCGGCCGCACCCACCCCAGCGTTCACCTGCTCCGTTCTGAGGCGCCGGTTGAACGGGGCAGACGGGGGCATCCGGGGGGGGCCTCAGGGTCGTCCAGCCTGGAAGTGGGGGGTCCGGCGGAGTAGGGAGCCTGGCATGGCGCGAAACAAGTGGCTGGTTCACGGGAGGAAGGGCAGCCCACCCCGGCGCCCACGTGGGGGCCAGCTGGGCACCCCCTGCCTCAGCCTGGTGCCCCTGGGTGGGCAGTACAGGGCGGGGTGGAGCCGGGCAGGGGGCGGGGCCTCCCGCCGGCAGGGGGCAGTGCCCAGTGCCCGCTGCCCGCCGCCCCCAGGACCCGGG